GGGGGGGAGGGGAGGGCTGTGCAACACAGAGAAGACAAGTAGTGATTCTACAACATCTTACTATGCTGATGGACAGTGACTGTAATGGGGTTTGTGGGGGGGACTTGGGGTAGGGGAGAGCCTTGTAAACATAATGTTCTTCATGTAATTGCAGATTAATGATAACAACAACAAAAAAAAAACCTGAAAAAAAAAATACTGTTTTCAAACTCTTCTTAGGTCTAGCATTCTAGGTGGTCAAGAATCCAAAGTTCTATTTAGAATATGCCCTAAAAATGTCAACGTCTAGTTGGTGCATACCCTGCCCACTAAGCTTACTGAGGGACAGTGTTCCATTTTTTTGGTAATGAAACCAGAAGCATTTTAATTCAAGACATGACAAAAAGGTCAGGATTAGTCATCATGGCCATTTATAAGACATGTATGAAAAAATAAAAAACATGTCCATGAGGGAGAGAGATGACAGAGAGAATAGAACAGATGCACAGGGATGATAGGAGGAAGAGTAGAAGATCCACAAATGCAAAGTTCCTCATGCTTTAATGCGTTTCCAGCTCTAGTGCCCCTAAGTGCCCAACAATACTGATTTCATTGCTTGACTGTAATATTTTTAAGCTAACTTGAGTAGATCTGTGCTTCTTGTTTTTTTTTGGTATCATTAATCTACAATTACATAGATCTGTGCTTCTTGTACTCTAATATAAACCTGTGCTTTTCAAGCCCTAACTAAAATATAAAATTCAAGCCTAAAAATATTTCAATTTGGTCTGGCAGGAATCTGGCTTATGTGTAAAAAAAAAAAAACATTACATTAGCATGTCTAGGTTGAAATAACATTCCATTTCTGTAAAGAAGATCAAGGTAATAATGAAGTGACTTACCTTATGAAAATATTTCAAGTTAGTTAAAAACATAATTATCCTAAAAAATAATTTTAGAGTGGGAAGTCTATAGAATCCATCTTGCTAAAAAGAATTAAGTGCAGGACTGGTTGTCAAAAAAAAAAAGGAACTGGAGGGAAAAAACCTGTAGTGGAAACTCATAATTTCTAACCTTTCCAACTGTAGAGAAAATATCTGAAGCAAATGCTTTTCTGATTAGAAATACAACAAAATAGCACACCAGATGAAAGGCGTTCTGGAAATGGATAGTGATGATGGTAGTACAACTTCTGGACATATTTCATATCACAGAACTGTACAACTGAACATGTTAGGGACAGTAAATTTCATGTAAGGTGTATTTTTACAATTAAAAAATTTGGAAAAAAAAGATAGCACACCATTGCCAAACCTACTAGACTACTTCTATGAATCATGCAAAGTCACTTTGGCTACTAGCAGAAGTATTACATGACCCATCCCCACCCCAACAATACCTTGAACATCTCGTCCCAAAACTCCCACATAGTTCTGATCTCTTAAGACTTCCTGGTCACCATCCTCCACATCAGTTTCCGGCTTCTTTATTATTTTTTTTGTGTTGACCAAAAGCTGAGCTCGCTCCTTTTTAATTTTAGCTCCTATAAGAATATCCACAGAATTAGAACAAGACAGATATAAATTCTTTCTAAACATTACACTTAGGTAAGTAAACAAACTCTGCTACTATTGTCCTTACTTAAAGGTTGGAAAAGAATTTCAGTGTTTTCTCTTTGATTAAAAGTGCAGACCCCTCTTCCACAGTCTGTATAACTAAGTTACAAAAAAACCCGCCACCCTGAAAGTACATATTTTTGGGGGTCAAAATAATTTTAATTACAATGGTTAGTTATAATTTAGCACTACTACTGAGCTCTATTATTTTATTTTTTTTTACTTTCAATAAAGTTTGAGTGAACTGAAAGTTTTTATTTAGTCTTACTAGATCAAATACTTTGTGCTGTATTTTCAAAAAAGGTTTAAAATATTTTGAAAAGTGAAATAATCTATAACCATGATACAAGCATCTCTTCAATTATATGATCACTCAGTACCTCCTTCTCTATCAAGAATGTGATTAAGAACATCATCATCTCCCACAAACTGAACTTCCAGCATCTTGTCTTCCTTTAATTCCAGTTTACTCATCATTGCCAACCTAAACAAAAGCAATAAAGCACTCAAAAGTGATGAAAAATTCTTACCAATTAGCCAATTAAATATTCACAATGAATACATGTGTTTGTATAACATTTTTAAAAGTCTTTTAAGTATGAAAAATAGGTCATTTGTTATTGTGTTAGTATTGTGTTTCTGGTAATAGGTGACTCAGTTCTTAATTTGAAAAATGGAAGAGAAGGACTCAAGATTTGGAAAGAACCAAATCTAATCAAATTAAATTATAGTTTAATGACAAGAAAACAATTCTGCCTGTAAAGAAAGCTCTAATCAATCTATGGAATAACAACATTGCCAGAAAGGGGACAGCTACTATATGAGAGTTTAGAAAAAGGGCATCCAAAGAATTAGAACATGACAGGTATAAATTCTGGTTTATAATGCTTTGGTGAATTTTAATATCTGTTCATTGGAAAGCTATCCCCACTGAGGGAACTCTGTGTACTTCACTGGTATACCAAGCGTCAAGCACCTCCCTTCAGTGTTACTACAAGCTTACCCAACAATTTTACAATTATAAATATGGCTTTTTAGGTATCTTAGTAACTAAACAGTAAGCAGGAATCTTTCCAATACTTTATAGTTAGCTCTACCTGAACAAACACCATTCCGCAAACAAGAGCTTGATTAACTCTGCCTACTCTGACAAAATCTAGTGTCAGTACTTACGCCTAAAACTAATTAATGATGATTTCAACTAGCTGCCAGCTAATTGATTCATTCAAAAAATTTTTTTTTTATCTTTCCTCTCTCTCACAGATCTTATTTTTGCCTTTTCTCCTAAGAAAAAGAACCTCTTTTCTCCTGACAAGGACACACAGAACTGTGTCCCTCTTGAGTCAGTTATTTGCAAGCAGGTAACTTACTAAATGTTGCCAAGGGTTTTTTTTTTATTACTAGCACACTTAAATGACTAGCATTTTCATTTACCTTTAAAGGTACTATACATTCTGCTACTGGAAAATTCAGGTAGAGTCACCTGTAACTGGAAAAAGATCTCAGTCAGGGTCAGCTAATAGGAAATGAAAGCAACCAGAAGTTTGAGTCTTAACAAACAAGATGAATAGATAAACATAGTTCTTATAAAGCCAAAAGTTATTATGATGGCATAGTAAAGGGCAAAATGACCATTACCACTGTGACCCAGAGAAACTAGAGACTGAGTAAATCTGAATTGGGTGGGCAGGTGGATGGAGAGAAGGGGCCAAAATCTGAGCACTTACTATGTGCTAGACACAGTTTTGAATATTCTATACGTATTATTGTTTAGTCCTTGCCACATCTCTACTAGGTTTATACTTTGTGTATTAACACTTCATCTATAATTTATATGACCATTAGACATATCCTTTTGGGCCTTCGTTATAGTCATAATCATAACACTGCTTATTATGGAGAGCTTGAGTCTATTAGAGCAAAAGTTTAATTCATCTACATGACATCTGTAGAAAATGAAGAAACTTATGATTTCTTTATATCTGTATAAAATATATGGTGTTTTAGTTTTTTTGTGGGGGGAAGGATATAAAATAAAGACTTTCTGAGGGGTTGTTTGTTAGGCACTGCACTAGGCACTTTTATGTATGCCAGATCATTAAATCCTCATTCTTTGAGGCAGTTAAAACGAATACATTATTTCCCCAATTTACAGATGAGTAAACAGAGGTTAAATATTAAATTACTCATCCGATATCACACAGTTATGAAGTATGTTAAAGCCAAAACCCAAGTTTGACTGATTACAACGTCCCTGATCATTCTATTAATTGATACCACACGCTTCTGCAGGTATTAAATACAAATCTGTTATCCTAAATGCTTGTTTTGACCACTGGAAACTATTCATAGTATGTCTAATCTTTTCCCACATGGCAGTTCAAATATCTGAAGACTTCAATGGTTCTGTAGGTTTCCAGTTCCTTAAATTAAACATGACTAGTTCTATCAAGCACATTTTTAAAAGCATGGCCATATTCAGCATAATCTACATTAATTTAAATTATAGGCTGCTTTGTTCTACAAAGGATTTGAAACAGTGACAATAAGCAAATGCAATAAACAAATGACAAACTATAATGTTAACAGGGAGTCTGGATCAGGGACAATAGAAAGATAAGTAAAAAATAAAATCATACAAGGAATTTTGGTTCTGAGCTTGCTGGTAATCAAAGTGAAAAAGGGCAGTTACAAAATTCATTCTCATCAACAAAGTTAAGTAGTTCCTTAGGGGTAGGACAGAGGGGATTTTCAAGGAAAATTTTAAAATGAATATTCTAGACAACTAGGCAATTTCCCTTTGGTATTTTACATTAAGAACTGCCTGGACAGAGTCTTGTTTAACTTAGTTTTGTTTGTAGTTGAATGCTCTTATGCATAATTTCCTTTTCTAGATTTCAAGACATTTTATTATACAGTACAGAATCACCAAGCTGAAGAAATTAATACAAAGAAAATTGAAAGCAACCATTCCTTCTCCAACAATTTCTGAAGGAAAAAAAACAAAAACCCACTATTCCACAACCACAAAAGAAAATGCAAACACAAAGCGATCATTTACTATTCAAGGCACTGTCTTTGGGTACTTACTTTTAAGGGGACTCCTTTCAAGGAGTTAATAGGTAAGCAATACAGCTACACCAAGTAAGTATTAACAGCAACACATTCTCCTTTGGGAGCAAATAAAGGATTTGCTGCACTTTAAAAAACATAACCCTTTAAAAAAAGAAGGTAGTATGATTACTGGTTAAGCACGAATTTTAACATGGGGTAAACGTGGGTTCCAATCTTAGCTCCACACTTTCGTGTGTGACTGCACAGAGTTGTGATTAAATGAGATAATGTGCTTAGCATATGAAAATGCTAATTAAATCTTCCCTATTATCTGTATGCTAACTTTAAAATTCAACTTAACCATACAGACTTCTTTTACATTTCTATATCCCGTCAAACAGAAAAAGTGCTCTATAAATGAATAATGAATAATGCCCATATAACCTGCAGTGCCGTTACACAAAAGTGTAGGGCCATGCCATGCTTCAGACTGCAATTTAACTAGGGGAGGGTGTAATGGTTTTATTACGATTTCAGCTACAGAACAAAAAAATTATGCACCAGTATCCTTTTAATTTAAAAAGCTCTACCGAAAGAGCCTGGTTTATCAACGTTTTACTACCAACCACTGTCCCACGGTAGTCTGTTCTGTTAGCATCATCCATTTGTTGCTTCCAGGCTGGGATATGCTAACATCAAAGGTTCTTGTTCCAGTGGTAGTTTGGGGACGATCTCGTCCCCCTCAGTCCTAACTTTACTCACAGATCACTTTATTATTTTCGTTACAGATTCTCTCCCTTCTCTCTTTACAAGCATAGAGCTCCTTATGCCGGAAAACAGATGTTGGTAACAGGCGTCCCTTGCACCGAAGAGCGTTATTACTGCTGGACAGACAGACAAACTGTCTTTCTAGAGGGAAGCTCCTACCCTTACAGGTACTGAAGGGACTGCGGCCTGGGCCTCACGCCGCAGACCATCGGGCTGCACTCCGGCAGCCGGGGATCCTCGGGCCCGGGGGACTGCGGGGCAGCCCGCGGAAGGCCGAGTGGGAGGTGCAACTGGACTCACCTCACAAGCCCCGAACTAAGAACGCGATGAAGGCAGGCTACTCGGTCGCCTCACTACGCACCGCTCAGTCTCCGCCACGCGCGGCTCCGGCCACCCCGCTACCAGCGGTGAGTGGTCGCTGCAGGGAAGGCTTCCGCTGGGACGGCCCCAGCGAGAAAGGCTAAATTCTTGTAAGCAGCCGGAGAACAGGATCACAGGGTCACAGGTTACAGCAAACAGGCACCAGGGAGCCCTACTGGGGGATGGGAGGCCTGCCTGCGGCACACCGAATCTCCCGCCCTGCTCAGGGGCGGAGCCCAAAGAAGCCAGTAGGAAGCGGAGTCAGCCGGGAGCGACGGGTATGTGGCCCACTCAGCGCTCACCTCCCGGCCCCGCCCACCAAGAAACCTGAGGAAAAGGAGTATCTAATCACTGGGTCTGGGCCTTTTCGTTCCTTGTTCCATTTCCGGGGAAGGGACAAGGAGGCGGTTAGATCTGAGGGAATTTATGGAGGTGTGGCAGGCTGAGTGTCTGTCTTGGGAGTTACTTCGTTTTTTGTTGTTTTTTAAGTTTCTCCTGATTTGTGTGAAAGGTAGGATTCTGTGCGTCTCAGTTTGAGGTAGGCAGGAAGGACACAGTCCTCTCTGTAGAGAATTAGGGTCGGGTGACTGAATATGGAGATAGGATCAAACTGCTAATGGGATGAAGAGACTGGGAAAATAAGGGGAATAAATATAGACAGAGATAATGAGGGAAAAAAAGGAAGGGACCTGCTGGGATAAAGTATTACCCACTAACAATACTATTCATTTGGATTCATGCATTCAAAATTAAGAGTCGCGTGTACCAGATAACGAGGATACACGATATTAAGCAAGGCAAACACGATCTGTGCCCTCAAAGGATACTACAGGGGAAGATACTGAACACTGTTGAGAAAAATACTACTATATTGGAAGTCCAGTATTTATTGGACCACGTGGCAGGGGTATTAACGGACTGAAGGAGTCAGGACAACTTCCTTGGAGGAAGAGATTCAAATCAAAACCTGAGGGTTGAACAGATTTAAGTCAGACAAAAAGGAGGACAAAACTTCCCAGATAGAAGACCCAAATTAATACAGCAGATGCAGAGGCAAGGGCCAAACTTAGGTCTATAGTTAAGAAGGCTAGTTTGGCCCTTATTGCACCAAATTTGTATTGAAAGATCACTGGATGAAAGCGGTCAAAGTGGGAGTGAAGGAAGAGATGGAGTTACACCAATTTGGAAGCTGTTTAGGAAATATAGTTGAGAAAGAGAAATGATGGTAGCCTGGATACCTCAATACTCCATTTGGTTAGAAGTTAAAAAACGAAAGATAAAAGTAATTTTTTTCTATCTACATTAGAAATAAAGAATCTGGGCTATAAGTAGAGAGAAGAATAGGAAAGAGACCATAGCCAATAGTTAACAATGAAGTGCTTTTAGAGTCCTTAAAAATTTGAAGATCTAGAAATACTGAATGGGTATTTAACATATGTTCTATATGTTTCTATGATGCAAAGTCTCTTCCATCTCCCTCTCAGATCTTCAGTGGTCTTCTAGACTAAGGCTTTGAGTGGTGGGTTTTGATTTTGTTTTTATGATATATATGTGTGGGAAATGGAAGGAGCTGTTTCCCACTTAGATTGATACTTACAAAAACAAAGCCATACCTTTCAGAATGGAGATTTGGAATTTAGGGGGTTGTCAGGAAGTTGAAGTTAAGAGGTGACTATAAAATGGCAATTCCCCCATGTATTCACAGAAATTTTGGGTAGAGCATTAAGACTTTTCCATAGGGAAAGAGGGGACCAAGTTAACTTAAGGTACATTTTAAAGGGGTAGAAAAATTAGCAGCTAATTGAGTTAATAGTTTGAAATTTAGGGCCTGGCTTTAAAAGTCTCTAGGACAGTTTGATTAAACAGTGAATTGAACAGTCTCTTGAAATGCCACTAAAATGACACAACTGAATTATTTTTAAGTATAAACATACAATTAGGAGACCTGGAAAGGTGGTGAGATAAAATTTTGGTAGATACATGGTAATTAGGCAAAGTAAGTTGAAACCCAGACCTGCAAAGGCTGACACCAATAAGAAACTTATTACTGTCACAGAGCTTCAGATAATCTCAGGAATTGGTCTCCCAAACTAATTAGGAGGTTCCTCCTAATAGGAACCTCTGAAGTCAGAAGAGCAGTTATGGGGCTGAGAACCAGAGAATTGGTTGAAGTCTGAAACAAGGAACAATTGGATTCCAGGTCTCCTGTTCTTAGCACAAGACCAAGTTACAAGGTAAACCAAAGAGGCTCTAAGTTCAACAGAGTAGGAATGAAAAGTCATACTGAAATTGGGGGTGTGGTAGGGGGTGGGGAAAATTACCTGGGCAGATTATATGGACACTGGAATCTTTTGCTCCCAGAACAATGGCAATTAGTCATAAAGCCCCTGGGTGTTAAATTTAAAGACTCCCTCTTCATGCAGACTAATCAGAAGGCAGGAGGCGCAGGCAGAAAAATTAGTTCACTTGTACATCCACATTGAAACCTACTAGCTGGTAAGTCCTGCCCCTGTAGGCAGAGGTTCCAATCAATTTTAGCATTACCAAACTTTCCAACAAAGCCTCAGCTATGAAAGAGAAAACAAATAGACTAGGAACAAATAGACTATGTAGAACTGTGGGTAAAATGGTAACATTTCCAGAGTATGTCACCTGGCTTTAGTACATTTGCATATCCTCAGGGGTGGAGAGTCATCTCCAAGTCAATGGGTAATTACCTGGGCAACCGAGGGCGTATATGAACCTGAGAATTTAAGGGGAGAGGCTGACTTGCTTGCTGGCTTGCTTCCTTCAGGAGCAGGGGAGAGACTGCCCTGGACTGCAGTTTGTAAGCAATAAACGGGTTTCAAACTTTATTTCTCCCTTTGACTGATTTTGGTTTTTAGAGGTATTTTGCCCCAGGATTTCGTTTCCCTGAACTTACAAGAACCCAGGAGAATATTAATTCCAAACTAATTTTATAAAAATCTCAGAGATAAAAGATTTTATATCTTAAAACAAAGAATATAAAAGATCTGAGTCATCAAATTTAGATCTTTAAAGTTTTAATTTTTAAACAGACTGCAACATCTTATTAGCTGCACAACGAAAAAATAGTCTATGTGTCTCTTTGTCAGGGAGATAGATGACTGAGTAAAAAAAACATGATACCATTTTTTAAGTTTATTTTTATGTTCAAACAAGGTTTTTTACCCATGCCATATTTTATATGATCAATTTCAGTATCAGTTTCTATATTCCAAAATGAAATATAAATAGCTGCATTGAACTCAGTGAGAGATCTCACTAAGTAACCATGACCAGGTAGGTCATATGGACAAGAGATACTTGCATTGGTTCCTAAATTTGGGAAACTCAGGTAACTTTTGTCTTTATTACCAGTTTCATGAAAATCTTTATATTGATGCTATTTCTGCTTGAAAAAAAAAATCCATTTTCTCCCTGGATCTTTTTCGTTGACCAGTTAAGCTTATTCAGTTACCTTTGAACACCTACATATAGAGGACATAGTACCCAACCTTAATAAACTTAGATACTAGTTGGGTGGAATCAGACAATCTAAATACAATAAAGTGTGACTGCAAAGAGAATTTGCTGAGAACTACTAGGACAACTGCCACTTAGCTCAGCCTGGCAGGTGGGAGGATAAGGGGACAAGGCAGCAGAGAAAGGACCTAATTAACTACAAACCATAGAGAATGGGGGCAGAGAAGGGATTTCAGGGAGAGAGTATTCATAATACCAACATAATACCAATGTTACGTACAAGTATGAATGATAGAGACATGTGGTGGGGGAAGTCTCAGGCTAAGGAATAGAATTTATCTCCTATGATGGATCTATTGAATAATTATAAACAGAATTGATAAGTATTTTATATCAATTACTAAGGAAGATTAATTTGAGGGGCAAGCGGTCTGGTTAGGATGCTATCGAAGCAGTCTGGATATGAAGATGTAGGCATGAGTTTTAGATGTAATAGTAAAAATAGAAAGGAAGAAATGGATTTGGGGAAGAAAAGTCAAAGTCAGCAGGAGATAGAAACTGGATATAGAGGGAAAGGGAAGATGTAATTCCCAGGTTTTTGGCTTGATTGCTTAGGTATCAGTTCCCTAGCGCGCTGTGAAAGACATATTACAGATGAGAGAGAGTGTAGAAGAGTTGAGTTAAACATGGGGCATCCTGACATTTGAAATGAGTGAGGTATATCAAATTATCCTGAAACAGCTGAATATAAGAACTTGAAATTCATTCATGAGGTCAAGGCCTACAAATAGAAATCAGGGGTCATCAGTGTATAGATTAAAACCAAAGGGAGAAAAATGAGAATTGCCAGGGATATTGAGTAAAGTAAGAAAGGAAGTGATACATCATCTTCTGAGATAGGCAGCAAGATGAGAGTAGTTGTAGATAGTTTTTCTTTGAAGTGGTATGGGATAACATTTTAGCATTATGGCCTCCATTTTATGGAGAAAGTAAAAATTGAGGCTGCTGAGAAAGTAGTACTTAAAGTAATGAAGCTTTGGAACTGAAGCTGAAGGGAATGAGAAAGGGGACAGGTCAAGAAGTACAAGCACCTCAAAGTGTTGGGGGCTTAAGGATATAGAGAAGGCAGACTGCAGCACTGATATAGATGAGTCTTTTTATTTTGCTATCATTAATCTACAATTACATGAACATTATGTTTACTAGACTCCCCCCTTCACAAAGTACCCAACAAACCCCATTACAGTCACTGTCCATCAGCATAGTAAGATGCTGTAGAATCACTACTTGTCTTCTCTGTGTTGCACAGCCTTCCCAGTGCCTGCCCTCTCATTATACATGCTAATCATAATGCCCCCTTTCTTTCCCCCCACGCTTATCCCTCCCTTCTCACCCATCCTCCCCATTCCCTTTCCCTTTGGTAACTGTTAGTCCATTCTGGGGTTCATTGATTCTGCTGCTGTTTTGTTCCTTCAGTTTTTCTTTGTTCTTATACTCCACATATGAGTGAAATCATTTGGTACTTGTCTTTCTCCGTCTGGCTTATTTCACTGAGCATAATACCCTGTAGCTCCATCCATGTTGTTGCGAATGGTAGGATTTGTTTTTTTCTTATGGCTGAGTAATATTCCATTGTGTATATGTACCACATCTTCTTTATCCAT